ATAAGCATTGGGAGAGGGAGCTTCCTTAATAGGAGTGGCCTATACCAATGAGAGCAAAGGTTCGATTCAAGTTTCTAGTACTGTATCAGGTGTTGCGAAGAAGACAAAAGAAATGCAGGGGGTCTCAGAAGTCTTGATTCAGATTTAGGCTCTAAGAATTTAAATTAATAGCTTAATCAGAGAAAATGAGTTTATTTGAACCAATTCAGAAAGCAGTATAAAACAGTATGTTAAGTGTTATGCTGTCTATTCACTCAATAATACTCCAAAAAATAGAATAATTAATTGTGAACAAGGATTTCAAAGGACCTTTATATTTTAAAGATAAATGATGGAACAATGATCAAGTGGTAAGATTTTTATGGTGATTTTGATTATGATTTTTTAAGACAAAATATAATGAAGCAAAATTTATTCTAGTCTATAACCAACAAGCTATGTTGGGAAAGTGGGAGTGAAGCACGCAAATATCGATTATTACCATAAGTAAATATTACAGTATTAAAACTGCAGGTAGTGATTGTCAGGATTATTCATTATCTCTTTAATAACCTTTCCTCTTGGATCTAAGTTGGCATTTTGTTTTGCAATTATATAATTATTTATCATGTAATAGTTTTCATTTTTTCCTTCTAACTCCAAGGCAGGGCAGAAAAGAGAAAGGGAGAGAGGAAGGAAAAGGGAAGAAGGGAGGGACAGAAGAAATAAAGGAATGAAGGAAGAAAGGAGGGAAGGAAAGGAGGGAAAGATGGGAGAGGGAGGGAAGGAAGTAGAGAGGGAGGGACAAAGAAAGTAAAGGAGGAAAAAAAGGAAGTAGGAAAGGAGGAAGGAAGGGAGGGAAAGATGGGAAAGGGGAGGGAAGGAAGGATGTGAGGAAAGGAAGGAAAGCAGGGAGGAGAAAGATGTACAGAGGGAGGGGGAGGAAGGAAAGGAGGGAAGGAGAGAAGGGAGAAAGGAAGGTAGGAAGGATGGATTTATTAAGCATCTACTATGTGCCAGGCCAAGGGAATCAAATAAGGAAAGGAGGAAATGGATTTTTGAATGGTGAGGATAGGGAGATAAGGCTGAACTAATTGGAGCAATTAAGCTTCAGGGAAGAATGGGAACAACTACTACTACAACTACAACAACAACAACAACCACTACTACTACTACCACCACCACCACCCCCCTACTACCACCATGACTACTACTACTACTACTACTATTAATATTTATATAGCACTTCAAAGTTTGCAAAGGGATTTACAAATATCATCTCATTTTATCCTTGTAAGTAACTCTGAGAGGTAGGTACTATTATTATCCCTATTTTACCGATAAGGAAATTAAGGCAGAGAGAGGTTGCCCAGTGACTTGCCCAGAGTTGTAGAGCTACAAAGTGTCTGTGGCTTGATTTGAAATAAGGTCTTCTGGACTCCATGTCCAGCACTTGATCCACTATGTCACCAAATGGTAGGATAGAGAGGAGACCAGGGTGTGAAGGTTGTAGAAGCCAAGAAAAGGAGTTCAGACCTGATGTACTATGCAACAAATGGATCTATGACCTCATTCATCCTACTGATGAAGTTCACAACCCAATAGTGCCGTCCTACTCTGTAGGATTCCTATCTATGTCTGTCTGTAAATTCTTCGCACAGGACCCATCTAATCTACTGGAGGCCCTCTCCTCTGGTCCTTTGTCTATTTCAGACATATCAAGGCAACACTGGGGCAGTCCTTCACTCTTAATACATGACTACCCTACCTCCTTTTCCAGTCATACACATCCCTGATGATATCTATTATGGCAGTTTTCAAACGCAAGTCATCATCATTGGTTATAAACTACAGCCTCCTACTTACAACAACCATGCATCTTTCCATTTTCTTTTGAGTCAAGTGCAATTTTGGTTCTTCTGGGGTCGTGGTGTTCCATGACTCACAGACATATATAGCATCACCTGGAGAATACCGGTGTTAAAAACATGGGCTTTTGCATCAGTGAGCAGTTTGATGCCATTTAAAGGACCATATAATTTCCCATATACTAGTCTAATCTCCATTTCTTATTCGATGCTGGGCTCTATTCAATATCTATTCAAGAAACAAAGACTATGTCAAAGCTTCCTGTCTGCACATTGTAACACACTTTAAAAAATCAGTTTCTATAATACGTTTTAAAACAAACAAAAAGTCCACTTTGTTTTCTTATAGTGTGGATAGTTAGACCAATAGATTTTATTGAGACTGTCATGTCTTGGGACTAGATGAAACTAAGATGGCACCTATAAATGGGACCCTTTGGAGAACCTCACCACCAACAGCAAAACCATCTATATAGATATCCAGGACACTGACAAAGAGCAGAATGATATGACATGTTATTTTAGGAAGATTAGTCTGGAAACAAAAATCTGGATACAATGGATAGGGGTAGAGTTTCTGAACCAGACAGACCAGAAATTGTTACAATACTCCAGGTGTGAGGTGAGGATTACCTAGAAAAGAATCGTAACAACAGGGATAGAGTAGAAGGGATAAATTTAAGAGACATTTTAAAACACCAGAACTCTGTGAAATACTGGTTATAAAAGATAAAAGAGAAAGAGTCAAACTGAAGCAGCATGATTAAGTGGAAAGAATACTGGATTTACAGTCAGAAGACCTTAATGTGAACCCAGGCTTTACCATCTGCTCCCTATGTAACCTCAGGTAAGTCCCTTCCCCTGTCTAGGTGGTAGTTTCTTCATCTGTAAAATAAGGGGGTTAGACTAGATGACCTCTAAGCATAACTTCCAGCTCTAAACCTACAATTCCATGGGCCCAAGGGTCCAAGGATCCAGAAGACAATTCAAAGGTTTAGCTTCAGGAAGAGCTGTTTTCCTCTGACACCAGAAGAAAATAAATATCAAAGTGGGGACACATTATGGGGAGGATAAAGTTCATGAAATGACTTCTCTTTGAAACAGGAGGAGTGCTTAAAAACCAAAAGCACAGGGAGTGGGGAAAGAGTTGGAATACTTAAGGAAAAAGAAAGTCAGGAACAACTTCAGACTCGGGGCAGATATCATTCAAGAAACAGTGAGCAATATGACACAGAACTGATGGGAGGCAAGTGAAGGTAGGCTGAGGCAGAGGAATCTGAGTCTGAAACAGGTCAGTTCTGTCTATCACAAAGATCCCTACCAAGCATGAATAAATTTTAAATGTCAAGTCAACTTTAAAATGTTTTCAAGATTCCACCAAATTGATAAAAATTTTCCATTTTATTTAAGAAAATGTCACTTTAATTAATTTAAAATTTCCCCTACTACATTTGCTGATAAAGTTAAAAGGACAGACCTTTTTCTACTTTTTAAAAATTCATTAATCATTTGTGTATGAGGTAGTATAAGAGATGAAGAAAACACAAGGATAAGAACCTTTTTAAAAATTAGTCTTATTCTAAAATTCATGTTATAAAAGCACAACTGGCCCAACTTTTTCAGACCCCCATCTCAAATGCATTAATTATTTAACCTTTTCAGTTCCACTCAATGCCCCTTACGTATCAATATTTTATTTCCTCTAACACTGATCACTAAGCAGTTCCAACAACTCTGAGCAGAATCTTCCTTTATTTAACCTTTCAAGACTGCTGGATAATTAATATTATTCAACAAGGCTTCCTTTCAGGAATATCCATGCCTGACCTTTCAAAAGACTTTTGTTTAAAAAAAAAATCATTCTTTTGCCATGCAGCAATCACTATGAGAATTCCTTTTTTTTTTGAGATTTAATTATATATACGAATATATACAGTAATAAGAAGAGTTTGTTCTTAAAGACTCCTATGCAACTAGTGGTTTGTATGTATGGGGAATAAATATCAATCATCATCACTATCCTTCATGCTAACATTTCCATTGTTATGGGTTTTTTCAGGGCTTCACCCTTAAGCCTTAAAAGTTCATACACAGTAATCTGAATAGTTATATAATTTATCTGAAATTTACTCTGTGATTTTTTTTTTGTTGTTGCTGTTACCCAAACCTGTGATTTCATCTTTACTGGAAAATCCCATGAGCACTTTACTTCTCAGCACCTCAAACACCCCAAGTCCATGATTACTATTCATAAACTATTGCCATGAGAACACTAGGGACTGAGTGATTCTTTAAGGATTTTTTTTTTTAACGGAAAAGATAATCTGGACTATTCCTACAGTCTACTTAACAGGGATAGTGCCTGGACCTGTGATTTATTTAGTGCAAGGAACTCATGGGTAAGAGAATTTCCACTACCAACACAAATCGGTGCCTCCTAATGATTTCACTAGAGTAACAGAGTTGGTATGGGTCAGAGGTGGAGCCCAAGCCTAGGCTCTGAGGTAAGCTCTATATCCGCTATGATATGCTATTTCTACTAATAGCATCGAAAAAATTTTCTTAAGTCATAAAGCAAGCTTAGTATTTATAAGGAAAAGCTTTAGGTTTCAGTGGATCCTAGATTATTTGACTTCTCCAATCAAGTAGACGGATCACTAACCCCCCAAATAATTTGTTTTTGTTAACCCTACCACATCTCTTCTTGCATTTACCTTTTCTTTTTCCAGTTATTTCCATTATTTACCTATCAGGAAAATTATAAATTTATAAACAAAGTATTCCTTTTCTAAAATCCATGTTCAAAAAGCACCATTGTTGTAATTTCATCTAACCTCGTCTTTAAAAATGTGATCAACATTAATGCATTTCCCTATTCATAATTCCAGGCTTAGCCACTCTGGGGTTTAGTTTCCCATTTGCCCACCAAAACAGGTTTGTGTGTCAGAGAAGGACCTAACAGAGGATAGAGGTAAAAGCAGCACAAGAAATTACTGGACGTTTCCACCTAGACATCTTGCTGGCACCTCTAATAAGTGTAACAGAATTAGATTTGCTGAGAAATTAGCAGACAGAAGCAGAAATCCTGTTAATGGGAGGAGCTCAGTGGATCAATGCTTTACTATCATACTAAAATATGTATTTTCTACTTACATTGTACTGCATATGATGCAAGAACTACTGCAGAATTAAGAGGGCATGTTAACCTAGAAGGAAAGAAAAATCAAGAAATATAAAATTCAACAATATTCTAAATAAAACTGAACAATATATTTGATCACAAATAACTGTGGATGACATTTTTAAAGGAATTTCATGAATAATACTGTAGGTCATTATTGCTACATTGAAAGAAAATCATTCATCTCAAACAGGTATGCCAATTGCAAGGCTCATACAGTTCTTAATACAAGCTACTGGAATTAAAGTTGTTTTTTTTTTTAAGTTAAAAAACACTCCAAAATGCAAATATTGCCCAGATAAAAAACAAACACTGGCTTTTACATTAGTGAGACAGCTGCATTCACATTACAAAGGTTAATACCCTTATTTTGGGCATTCACAGTAAGTATCAAAGGGGCAGCTAGGTGGCACAGTGAATACAGTGCTGGGCCTGGAGTCAGGAAGACTCATCTTCCCAAGTTCAAATCTGGCCTCAGACACTTACTACCTGTGTGACCCTGGGCAAGTCACTTAACCCTGTTTGCTTCAGTTTCCTCATCTATGAAATGAGCTGGAGAAGGAAATGACAAACCACTCTAGTATCTTTGCCAAGAAAACCCCAAAAAGGGGTCCTGAAGAGTCTGAAACGACTGAACAACAACAAAAAGTAAGTGTCAAATGTCAGGCTCAAAAAACAATGGTGATAAATGAACAGAATAATTTAAGATATTATTTAGGAATACTCTAAGGTTTTTTTCTGAGTCTAAATCTATTATTACATCCATACAGGTAGCCCAGGAACTGAAAGAAGTGTGATCTTCCCAGGGCCTCGAAGCCAGTACATGTCAGAAGCAGGACCTGAAACCAGGCTGACCTGACTTCAAAGGTCAAATCTCAATCCAGCACACAAGGCCTCTTATAGTGCACATCATGTTGTGACAAAATGTAGAGACCTAGGAAATTCTTTAGAGAAATATAATCTTTATAAAAAAACAAACCCCTAAATGCTATTGACTAGTACCCATTTCCCTGGGAAGAAAGAAGGAAGGAAGTCTCTGGGAAAGAAGATGACTGTAATAAGTAATTTCTGGTGACACAATGCCTCATGACTCCCAGATCAGTATCTCCATCCAAGTTTCAGTCCTACTTGCCTGATTTTCTTTCTTTTTTATTTTAAAATTTATTATTTATTTTAAACATTCTTTTCTTTTTAAATTTTGAGTTCCAAATTCTCCCCCCCCCATTGAGAATGCAAATAATATGATATCAATTATACAGGTGAAATCATGTAAAACATATTTCCATATTACAAAAAAGCAAGAAAAATAGAGTCTTTTGGTATTATCTTACATCACTGTACTTATCAGAATAGCTACGTCTTTTACAGTAGATCATCATTACAACATTGCTGTTACTGTGCACAATGACCACCTGGTTCTACTCACTTCACTTTCCATCAGTTCATATAGGTCTTGCCATGTTTTTCTGAAACCACCCCCCAAGTAATTTCTTAAAGCACAAGAGTATTCCATCACAATCATGTGCCACAACTTATTCAGCCATTTCCCAATTAATGAGAAGCCCCCTGATTTCCAATTCTTTGCCACCACAATAAAAGCTGCTATAAGTATTTTTGTACATGTATGCCCTTTTCCTTTTTTTTTTTTGATCTCTCTGTGACACAGACCTAGCAATAGTATTGCTGGGTCAAAAGGTATGCACTGTTTTATAGCCCTTACGGCATAGTTCCAAATTGTTTTCCAGAACAGCTGGGACCAGTTCACAACTCCACCAACAGTTCTTTAGTATGTCTATTTTTCACCTATTTCTCCCACATCTCCTCCTCCAGCATTTATCATTTCTGATAGGTGTGAGGTAGTACCTCTGAGATGTTTTAATTTGCATTTCTCTAATCAATAGTGAATTAGAGCATTTTCTCATATGACTAGAGATAGCTTTGGTTTCTTCTTCTGAAAACTGCCTGGTTCTTTGACCATTTATCAATTGGAGAATAGCTCTAATTTTTATAAATTTGACTTAGTTATATACTTCTTATATTTTTGAGAAACAAGGTTTGTATCAGAGAAGCTTGCTGTAAAAAATTTTGATTATTATGTAATTGTCTATGGTACCTTTTAGCAAAATTTAGTTTCCCTGATAATTCCTTTCAATTAGGTCCATTTTTGCTTTTGCTTTGTCTGAGATCATGATTGCTATCCCTGCCTCTGTTTACTTCAGCTGCAGTATAGTAGATTCTGCTCCAGTCATTTATTTTAACCCTGTTTCAAGTGTTGTTGGATTCTGGTTTCTAATCCATTCTGCTATCTCCTTCCAATTTATGGGTGAACTAATCCCATTCACATTAACAGTTACGATTTGTGTATTTCCCTCCAACCCATTACCTTGTTTCTTCCTCTCTTTTTATCCTGCCCCTCCTCAAAAGTCTATTTTGCTTCTAATCACTACCTCCCTTAATCAGACCTCTCCTTATCATCCCCCACCCCTTATCTCTTTGCCTAATTTTCTATTGGAAACATCCACATGAACAGACAGTCCATCAGCAGCTCCAACTTGACAAACCTCAAATTAAGCCTCTATTTCTCCTCTAAAGTCCCTTCAAACTCTAAATCTATGATCCTTTTGTTCTTTCCATGAATGTTTCTTTCCACCACAACTGCTCCTTCCAGTTTTCTCAATGGTCACTTAGACCACCATTCTCTCAATTATACAGGATCAAAACCATGGATAGCAGAATATAGACGAAAGTCTTTACTGATTCTCCTAGCTGTTAGTATTCTCCTGGCCCTTCAAAATTAATTTGTATTTATGTACTTTGTACATTTTGTCAGTTGGTTGGTCAACAAGTATTAAGTACCAGCTACATGCCAGGCACTGCTAAGCACTGTGGATACAAAGAAAGGCAAAGACAGCCTGTGCCTTCATTCTAATGGAGGAGACAATATCTGAGCCGGCTCTTGAAGGAAGCGAGAGCATTCCAAGTACAGAAGGCATAAAGGGGAGAGATGAAGCGTCTTGCTCAAGGAACTACAAGTAGACTAATGGAGTTTTTATAGGGTTCAGAGAACAGAGGAAATTATAAAAAGACTGGAAATGCAGGAAGAGGCCAGGTTATGAAGAGCTTTAAATACTAGAGGAGTTCATATTTGATCTTGAAGGTAGATGGGAGCCCGTGGAGATACTTGAGCAGGGAGAGTAACATGGTCACCTGGGCAGCTGAATGGGCATGTATTGTAGTGTGAAGAGATTCGAGGCTAGAATATCAGCTAGAAGTCTATTGCGACAGTGCATGTGAAAAGTTATAAGGAGCTGTATTATAATTGTGGCTGTGTGAGTGGAGATAAAGGACATATATGACAGATTATCATTAAAAGCAATCATTTGGTATGAGAGAGGGTTGTAGGCAGCACTTGATGTGAAGGTCTGAACAATAACTGTGGGTAGTGTGATAAGAATTAAAGAGGAAAGAATAAAAAGATTGCTACACAACAGCTAAGGACCCAACTGCAATGAGATTATGTTAATTTAAAAAGTAGGCTGGATTGCCACTTTGGGGGGGGGGGGGCTTTCGTGGCAATTGTGGTTAAGTGACTTGCCCAGGATCACACTGCTAGTAAGTGTTGTATCTGAGGTCGAATTTGAACTCAGGTCCTCCTCACTCCAAGGCCAGAGCTCTATCCACTGTGCCACCTAGCTGCCTCTCCAATTGTCACATTTTTGTGACTTATTCTACTAGCATTTACCAGCACAGAAGTAGAAACCAAAATAAATAAATAAATAAAATAAAAAAATAAAAAAGGGAAGGGAAGGGAGAGAGTCAGCAGTTAGGTGGCACAGTGGATAAAGCTCTGGCCTGAAGTCAGGAAGATGAGTCTTCCTGAGTTCAAATCCAGCCTCAGACACTTACTAGCTGTGTGACCCTGGGTAAGTCACTTCACCCTGTTTGCCTCAGTTTCCTCATCTATAAAATGAGCCGGAGAAGGATATGGCAAACCTTTGCAGTATCTTTGCCAAGAAAACCCCAAATGGAGTCATGAAGAGTCAGATACAACTGAAAAAATAACTCATCACTACCAAAGAGGGGGATGGTAGAGGGGTGACCCAGGGCTGATGGTTAGTGGAGCACAAATTCAGGATAAAGAAGAAAAGGATTCAAGAGTGGGGGACAGGCACAACTGAAATGGTCAAGACTAAAGGGATGAAACTGAGGGCAGAGAAGGAGTTACAGACTGCAAGAACAGAGAGCAGAGAGACTGATGCCTGAAGTGAGGATAGGTATAGGAGGAATGAAGCAGCTGGCAGATGGAAGGACAAAAGTAAAATCATGGAGACACAAATGTTTTGGATGAAGATGAGGTATAAGTTAAGCTGAGGTAGAGAGGAGAAAGAGGTCACAAGAGTTGGGAAAGGTATTTAAAGGGATATCAGTGTGAATGTTAAAGCAACCAAAACTACGTATTGCCATCTCCCCTTTTGCCATGAGCTCCTTCCCACATGATACATCCTTACTACTCACTATCTTCTTGACCCCTCACCATGCCATCATTCTACTCAAATGGTTCTTCCAAAGGTCATGCATGGCATACTAACCAGGGAAATTAATAAATATTTCTTAAATGTCTACTAGGCACTGTGCTAAGTTCTGGCTTTTCTGAGACTTCCTCCTTCTTGATTTTCTCTTCATATAACCTAACACCATCAACCACTTCCCCCTACTCAATACTCTGTTGTCCATGGGTTTGGGCCTCTAGTTTATGCTCCTCTCAACCCCTTAAGGAGGATATTCTTCAAGGGATCATCCTCAGCCCTCTTCTCTTTTCATATTCTCTCACTTGGCAATCTCACCACTCCCAAAGCTTGAATTTCCACCTCTAAAGCAAGTGACTCTGAAATCCATCTCAATAACCCTGACCTCTCTTTGGACTTTTACAACTCCACCTCCAGCTAACTATAAGGCATTTCCACCCAAACATCTCACAACCAAACCTTAAACTCAGAAAGTCCAAGACTGAGCTTATCATCTCCATAACATTATCAGATTTGGCTATGTTAATGCTTCTGCTCAAAAATTTTCAGGAGCTCCTGAACGCCTTCTTAGTAAAGTTCAAATACTTTGCCTAACACTCAAAACCCTCCCTGAACTGGTACTACTTAACTTTTTCATTCTCAGCAACTATTACTCTCCACTGTACATTCCATGCTCCAGCCAAACTGGACTCTTTGAAGTTTGTGCTATAAAACAGAATCTCTCGACCTGATCTGTGATCAACTGTTTCCATGCCCTTGTATTGTCCACTATATCCAAAAGGGCTTCCTATCCCCTACTCTTCAGAGACTGGAATAACAGAGGCAAAGATGGGTGATGATTTAAAGAGGCTCCAAAGGTACAGAAAGTTTCTGAGAGATGACTCTGGTTTTCCCAGTAGGCACTTAACTAGTGCCTATCCTTTAAAGCCCAATTCAAACATTCCTTCTCTCTATGAAGATTTACCTGATCCATTCCCCACAAGCAGCACAATGATTTCCCTCCAAAACCTCATGTGGCATTTTGTTGTGTTACTCTCTAATACACTGCCCATGTAAATCATATTATAATTATCTGTATCTGTATCTTATTATTCTCCCAACTAGATTGTATGAGCAAAGGAGCAATGTCTTATCAAAACTCTTGACCTCATCATCACCTAGTAGTCCAATGTTGTGAACAGAGAAAAAAGGCTTAATAAATCATTTGTTGAATGAATAGTAGTACCATGTTCCTAGTCACCCAGGCTTTCACCTTACTGAATCTTTCCTCACCCTCCATATCAAACCAGTTTCCATGACCTGTTAATTTTACCTCTATTATATGTGTCTTGCTTTCTACTTCTTCTGCCACGTCCCTCATTCATGTCCATATCACCTCTTACACATACCACAGTAATAGCTTTATAAAAATTAGTCTACCACTGTTGAAATAATCTTGTTAACGCAGAGGTATGACCACAGTACTCCTCTGCTCAAAGACACTTAATAGCTCGTTACCTAGAAGATAAAATACAAACTCCTTGACCTTAAATTAAAAACTCTTCACAATCTGGTTCCAACATCCCTTTCCATCCTTCCTATACACCGGAACACCCTTAACTCACTGAAGGTAGGGAGTTTCATTTTGTGTGTGTGTTTACTTCCTAGTACCTGCCCCATTGCCTGGCATATGGTAAGCCCTCAGTTAGTATGGCATGATTACTCTTTTACATATAGGTGCTCCCAGAGCTGAGCCTTGCACACAGTAGGTGCTTAACAGATGTTTATTCAATGGAAGGACAGCACATTCTATTTATCTGCTTCCTCTTTCCAGAAAACCTTTTCTTTTTTCCCCCCCAACACAAAGCATCCTATGTGAGGTGAACCTTATAGGCAAGTGAAACTCAATTATCAGGCACCGACAGTCAGAAATCAGACAAAATAATACTATATAACCTCTGCTATTTCCTCCTAAAAGAAAAAGCAGTCAAACACAGACCTAGGGGATGGAGGAGAGAACTCAAAAGGAACAATTAAGATGCCTACTTTTCTCAACTCCTTTCACTTTGCCACACCTACTTTCTCAGTGTTTTCTCATTAGGTCTCTACTTATTCTCTTCCCTAAAAGTATTTCCCAAAGGTATTCTGGGTCTCCTTCCAAAAGCTTCTTAAGTTTTTATCCCAAAGATCAGAATATGACTGGCTTCAATCACTCTAAATTGTTTAGAGGCTGCCCTTAACCAAACTCTGCTTTTATCAGCAGGATCTATGACCAGCTTGCAGTGAGCCAAACGCTTACTGAGGAAGTGATTTTGATAATGTGTAAAAAGGACTGAGAAGTCTAGACAGAATATCGAGGTTTAGAATTCCCATAGCTGCTATAGCTGAAACTTTTAAGAGGCATCATGTCTATACTGAGTAGCATTCTAAACACAAAGATGAACTCTAGTAGAAGACAAAAAATACAGTATGACTTCAGGAAGATTTCTCTGAATGAAAGTTCTGCATTAGGTGAAACTACTGTGGGAAAGCTATTCTTTTCAAAGTCTAGTGATTTAAAGGGAGAAAAAAAAAGAAAATTTTCAATACCTTCCTTCGCAAATATCCATCTTCAGTTGCAAGAAGTATAAGTGCCTATAAAGCAAATTTAAAAGTAATATTTAAATTAAAATAAGCAACAAAGACTTGATAAGACAAGAACAAAATTTGTACATTTAAAAACCAGGATAATTGTAGAAATATTTTTCTAACGATATGAAATCATCCTTGTGTATGTTTGTGAATCTTACACAACTATTCTTAAGACTACTAACGCTCTTATTTTAAAGCCACCTTTTTTTTTAAATACTCTTTCTAGTTTACCATTTTCCTCTTCACTCTTCTTATTTCTTATTATATCCTTTCTTTCAATTCTTTAAGTCTTTGAAAAACGGAATGGCTGGTGGATGGTTAGCAGGTGGATGGTGACCTTTTCGATAATGTTCACCGCTACCTTTCCCGTGTGAACACTCCCTTTCTTTCCATTTTTATTTGTTCATTCTTTATCTTTTTTTTTTTAAAAAAAAAAACAACAGAAGTATTATTTATGGCATGACAATTAAAGAGTGGTAAGGGATGAACTTCAGTCCAATCCAAACACCTTAAAAAAAATACTAAAATACATTTAAGAAATGGTGACCCAGTCTTTGTATGAAGATTTCCAAAGAAGAGGAACCCCTCACATCCTGGAACCCCATTCTATTTCTGGATAGCGCCAATGTTTAGGAAGTTTATTTCCTTATTTTAAGCCTAACTTCCCCTCTTTGAAGCTTTTACCCATTGGTTGTCATTCTGCCTGCTGGGGCCAAAGCAGAATAAGCTGAATCCTCCTTCCATGTGCTAGCCCTTCAAATACTTAAAGACAGTGATCATGACCACTAAGGACGTCTTGAAGCTAAACATTCCCAGTGTTTTAATTGATTTTTATACATCATGAACTCAAGCTCCCCTTTCCATCCTTGCTGTTCTCCTCTAAATGGTCTCCAGCTTATCAATTTGTCCAAAAATATCTGGTCCAGCATGGAACACAAAACTTGAGATATGGTCTGACCAGGGCAGAGTGCAGGAGAATTACCACCTCTTTATTCCCGGAAACTAAGCTTCTGTTTGCTACCAACTCAGATCATATTAGTTTTTTTTTTTTTTTGGCTGCCCCCTATAATTCTGTTGATTCCTACTAAATTCCAAGTTCTTTAAAACTTCCCACATCCTTTTCAGATGAACAACCAACTAGCCCCATTTCCCTAATCTCGTTCTTGTGAAGCTGATCTTTTGCTCCCGAGTATAAGGACTACATTAATCCTCATTTGCATTAATTTTATTCAATCTGGCCCAATGTTCTAGAGTATCCAGATCTATTTGAATCCTGACTCTGGCATTCAGTGTATTAGCTTGCCCTCCCAGCTCTGTGTCATCTGAAAATCTGATAAGCATGCCATCTATGAAATCTGCTGTGAACCCAATTATTCACTTTAAGATTCTTTTAACCAAATTTCTAACAGAATCCACTGATGGCATGTTTGCTTTCTCCATCATTATAATTAAAAATCAATTCACATTTTGATGAGCCAAGCAATAATTTTTTTTGAAAGTTAACCACTTGACCAAAACCAGAGCCAAGAGCAGGGTACTTATATAAAAGATATTTCCTGGAGAGGCAGGGTTGCCTCTTGCTCCCTCTCAGGCTGCTAAAATTTTCATTATAGAGAGGAGAGGTTCTCTTCAGAATTATACCTGGTCACACTATGCCTGCTAAAAATGTCAACCGCCTAAATGACCTAAAAGTAAGCATTCTGGAGAAGCTGCATGCCATCATGGATAAAGGGGCAAATCTTTGAGTCTGGAAGACCAGGGCTCAAGTTTTGTCTCAGATATATATCAGCTATATAGCCCAGGGCAAATCACTGAAGTTCTTGATGTTCTCAGGCATTTCTCTAAAACTATAAATTACAGATCAGTTGGTCATCTGAAATTTACATTGGTAGAGGGAGATTCCAAATCAGGGAATTCTTTACATTGGTGAGATCACTAGTCCCAACAACAACAAATATTTATATTCTGACATGTCCCCTGTATAAATGAGCTGAATAAGTAAAGGTGACTAGTGTGTGAAGACTAACTCTACTTAGCCCAGGCATTCTTTCATGCCCAGTTACAGTTTTTTGTCTACTGCTGAAAGCACACACTCAATAAAGCAGGACAATACACGGATATGTATGCAGCCTGTCTAGAGGATGACATCTAATAACATTGATATATCTTAGCTAATTGATTTCACTGTGGACTAGAAAACAAATTATCTCTTCCAATAATGGCACTCTAAATAATGGATCAGGATGAATTGCACATTGACTCATCTATATTAGTCAACAAATTGCCTTAGATAGTAAGCAAAAATTTAAAAAATAAAACATCAGTGAATACTGGAAGAGATGTATGATCATACAATAAAACAATTACAGTTGCAAGGAACTCAGAGGCCACCTAGATCAATCTTCTCATCTGACAGATGAGGGAATAGAAGCCCAAGGTCATACCCAATTAGAAAGTGCTGGAGGTGGGATGTAAACCAAGTTCTTCCTAACTTTAAGTATGTCAAACCAGCTACCTTTACTCCTTATTCTGCAGATAGAACTTTTTAATTATCTGTAAGCAGATCAGCTGCCAAGTATGACCCTCATAATCTTGGAAAAGGACAAAAAAAAGGGTTCAACAGCCCCATGAAGATGCTGGAAGGGACTTACTTGTATCAGCACACATGAGAGTTGGTTCTAATCTCTCTTTTTTCCAGAATCCAAAAGAAATATTGTTAGCTCCAGCATATGGCCAATACAGCAAGAGACACACTTATTAAAATTGAATAGAAATGAGAGAGGCAGAAGGGGAAAAGTAGAATTATGGCAATTTTTTTAAAAAGCAAACTTCTTCCATTTGATACATAAATGTGCATAAATATCAGGCTAAGTTCAGCTGTGCCCATCTTAACACAAGTTATAAAATAATTTCACTATTTATATTTCATGTAAAAAAACCCACTAAGGTTATAAAAGTTCATCAATAATTTCAGAGCTTTCAATTGTTACTTTTCAGTCATCATTATCAATATTATTGGCATCACCATCATCTAGCCAGAATGTACCAAAGAGCTAACATTTTTTTAATAAGTCATATGGGAAACATATGACTTCGGTGAATTATGCCTATCTAGGTTTTAGATCTGCATTCTTTCAAAACAGGAGCACATGGTCATTATTATCTGGATTGCTAAGGGATGGTTTTCATTTATGGCTTTCTGTGGGGTTTCTGTGTTTACCCAAAGCAATAATCAAATATAATTAGACATATTTGATTTTCTTCAAGGTTGGAAATAGAAAGGAAGAGGTTACAGATGAGCTAATAGTAATTTTAGAATGGCAAAATTAATTTCTGTTGGCAAATCAGGCTGACTAATATAATCTGATGAATTACCACATGGGAATATAAATCAAAAAACTGAAAAAAAAACCTACCATGTATCAAATCACACCCAGTCACTGACACCCCAAGAAAAGGCAAATATGACCAGACTCTGCAAAGTGACAGGAGTCCAGAATGACAGGAAAATCCAAATGATGATGAAGAGACATAGAATCAAGTAGGCTGTCTTTGACGAATAATAATAATTATAATGATAACAATAATAATAACTTGTACTTATATTACAGTAGAGGCAGTATACTATGCTGGAAGGAGCACTGGACTCAGGGGTAAGAAAATTCCTTATTTGCCACTTGCTATCTATGCGACCATGGGAAGTAATTTAAGTTCATGGGCCTGAGTTTCTTCATTTGGAGAATGAGAGAATTAACCTCTGAGACTCTTTCCAGCTCTAAAACTATAATCCTATGACAGAATGTTTTATTGTTTGCAAAACATCTACATTACCTCATTTGATTCTCATAGCTATCAGGTGTTCTTATGGCAGCTAGGTGGTGCAGTGGATAGAGCACTAGGCTTGGAATCAGGCTTCCTGAGTTCAAATCTGGCCTCTGACACTTACTAGCTGTGTGATCCTGGGTAAGTAGCTTAACCCTGTTTGCCTCAGTTTCCTTTTCTGTAAAATGAGCTGGAGAAGGAAATGGCAAACCATTCCAGTATATGTGCCAAGAAAACCTCAAATGGAGTCATTAAGAGTCAAATACAACTGAAAAACAACTGAACAACAATAAACTAAAGGTGCTCTTATAAGCTCTATTTTACAGATGAGCAAATCGAGGCTTAGAAAGGTTAAATGACGTCATCAATGTCACACAGCTAATAAATATATGAGCAGGATTTGAACCTAAGTCTTTTGATTCCAAGTCCAGCAGGAAACCATCTTATACAACTATGGAGTTAAACAACCCTAAATCATTGGATAAATTAATTACATAGGTGTCCTAGAACCAAGTGGGAGGCCATTAATAATGACGACGACGGTGATGATAGTAATAACAACAATAATGATGGCTGGAATTCACATAGCATTTTAAGGTTTCCAAGGCATTTGATCCTCACAACAACCCTGTGAAGCAGGTACAATTATTATCCCCACTTTATAGATGAGGAAACTGAGCCAGACGGAGGTTAAATGACTTGCCTGTGGTCACACACCTTTTAAGTGTTAAAAGTTGGATTTGAACTTAAGTCTCAGACCTAGTGCTCTATCTACTGTGACATCTAGCTGCTTCTAACTTAGGTTTTTTTTGAAACTTAGGGTTCAGTAAAGAAACTTGAAGGAAGCCTTTAGAACATCTTATTTTTTAAATAAAGCATGAAACACTAGCTCTTTTTAAAGGTGCTCTATCCAAATTGTATATTTCAAAAATCTAATTCATGTTTCTCTGACTCTGCTTAAAAAAAAAAAAAAAGAAAAAAGAAAAGAATCAGCCTGTTTAGTTATACCTGTCCCCAATCTTCCTTGACCATGGATTCCAACAGAACCAATTCCTCAAAAGTCAGTAACTCATCTGACAAGCCAGAGTATTAGGTTGAAATCAACAAGATTAACATGGAACCAGTAATAAACTCAAGATGTGCACTTAAAGGTCAACTGCAAGGAAGCTTTGGCCTGGCTGGAAAGAGATCTGGGAAATTTGGTTGATCAGAAGTTCAATATATGTACCAACTGTATAATGTGGTTACTTAAAATGCTAATGCAATCTTAGCCTGCATGAATAATGTGCAGATGACAGGGATGGCCCCACTGTGCCCTGGACTGGTCAGACCACACTGCAAGTACTATGGACAATTCTGAGCAACATATTTTAGGAAGGACAGTGAAAAACTGAGATGTGTTCCAAAGGGGCCAATTATGATGGTAAGAGGTCTGGAAACTACTGCCTAATAGGGAATGATTGAGGTAAATAGACGTGTTTGGCTTGGAGAAGGCTGAGAGGAGAGACGACAGACGATACTGAAGGGCTGTAATGAAGAGGGAGTAAACTTATTCTGTATTGTTCTAGGAGACTGGATAAAAGCCAATGAATTGAAATTACAAAGAAGTTTAATGTAATGAAGAATTTTCTAATGAACAGAACTTCCCCAAAGTAGAACAGGTTATTCCAGGGAGTAGTTACTTAAGGCTCAGTTTCCTCATCTGTAAATTGAGAAGGTAGGACTAGGTGATCCCCAATATCCCTTTAGCTCTAAATACTACAATCCCGTGAGGAATTTTAGTAGAGGATAGAATTCTATATAACAAGAATTATGAAGAAGAAATTCCTCACTCAGGGGGAGGCTGAAGTAAATGATTTTGAGGTCCCTTCTCCATCTGAAATTCTACCAGCCTATGACCCCAATCTACCATGTACAATTATAGAACTATCAGCCATGAGACCCATGTCTGTGTCTGAGTAGTAACTCAATTTGGCATTCGGCTCATACATCTATTCACACATTCTCATTCCCAAAGCCTTCCCTGAACAGAAGCTAACAAACTCCAAGATTCACTCCTGTTATGAGGCAGTAACATTAAAATCAGTGAAATAACGGAGAGTCAACTATGCTGTCAATCTAGTTGCCAGGCTGGGCACTTCTGCATGCACAAATGAGGAAAATGGTTCTAAACCAGCCTATTCCATATTGCTCTACAATGAGTTCAGTACAATATCTAGCTAGCTTGAATTTAAAGGACTGCAAAACCAATTTTAAGGTGTCTGTTTTATAGGTGTCCTTAGATATGGTTATGATTTCAATGGTCTGTATGATAACCCTGTATGACAAGGAATTTGCCAGTTCACCACAATGCAAGTGATACTTTCTGGAAGGAAAATCAATCAGCTGATGACAAAATTAGACAATATATAGACAGGGAGCAGGTGAGGGAGAGAAGAGTTGTAGCTGAATTTTTAATATATTGTTGTCAATTAATTATTGTCTTCGAGTATATCCCCTTCCCCATTTCAAACAACTCCCATCAGAAAAAACCATCTAAATTCTCAAATAAGCTGCCAAAACAAAATAAGAAAACAAAGAGATACAACTGCTTAGAGAAAGGTGATGGAAGTCGGCCACCGCCTCTTTTTTTGTATGTTGATGAACTACAGAGAAGCTGGTCATTAACTCAACTTCATCTGATTTGTAGCAAAGTATTCACCATAATAAAAATTCTACTACAACAAAACAATCAGTATGTCCCATGGGGTTCATCATAATGGGATATAATACAGATGCAATAATATAAATGTAATATGCATATAATCTGGTGATTTATAATATATATGTAACGGAGAGGTAGAAATTTACCTTATATTCAGATTTTGGTAAATCTCAGATTAATTTGCATTCTATGGGCACATACTTGAGGGGACTGATTGGGTAAGCTCAGAATTTAAAACTAACCATTTTTAAGTCACAAAATAGACAATCCACACAGAGGTAAAAGAGTCAACAACTTTATATGATTTAAAATATGTTAACCTGATATGTCCATTTGGATAATAACTGTTGGTACCACACCATTCACATTTTGTTTTATAGTACTAAAAAGAGCACTAGTATATTATTAATTTTTACATATTGCACAGAAAACATAAAAATACATTACCTTGTTTGTTCTTGCTGCAATGTGTTGGGATCAGGTATAAAAAATCTTACTCGAAAATTCAGGGTACAGGGGAAAGGTCCTACAACATTTTTCAAAAAGAAATTACATTTTTCCTTTTTTAAAAATGCAAGTAAAGTTGTGATTCTTCCATAAGCAATACAAACATTTGTCATACTACATTGCTTGGTTCTTTCCACACTCACAAATGGGTTTGTTTCAAATGCTAAGTGCATACACTGAATGTAATTTTTAAAAGCTTGAGGCAATAATACATAGGCTGGTAAAGTGTTTCAACAAGAGTATTCATTGATGGCTTCTTAAATAAATAATATGGATCTGTGTCCAAACAGCTCCCTCTATTCTCTGCATCATTCAAAAAAGAAAATCCTAAAGATATACTTAGCACGCAAAATTCTCCCTAAAAAATATAACATTTTACCCTTACATAGCATTTCACCCTTTCCAAAGCGGACTCACATACATAAATGCATTATCTCATTCACTGTTCACAATAACCCCCCCCAAAACACACAAGCCAAGTGTTGTTATCTCCACTTTATATATGAGGAAACAAGTTTAGAGAGGGTGATGAGATGTCTCTAAGACCATAGAAGGTCATCATCATTAGCAAAGATCATGATAAAAACTCCATGATAAAAAAATAGTCCATGGCTCCTTCCACTATCCTATGTGGCAAGCTCCACATTCATAAATATATATGTGTGTATATGTACACACATACATGTGTTTATATACATACATATAATATTTTCTTTCGCTAGATATAGTAGCAGAAGAAAATTAGTTTGCTCTATTAATATCCTGTAGTATTTTCCATGGCTATTCAACCCTTCTCAAACCATCAGCAAATACTTATGCATCCTGTATGTGCCTGGTATTTTTCTACCCATCAGCTCTCGTTTGAGGTCACCCACCAGCCCACTCAGTGTCACCTCCTCTCACCTGCTTATCTCGTCACTCATTCTACCACCTACCCATCACCCAACTACTAATTCCTGACTTCTCACACCTATTATTTTAATCTTTTCAGTAACGGGACTTCTGAATGAACCCCTTTATCTCAAGGTTGACTATCTCTAATCTCAAGTGTACGCCTGTATGTCTCTTTATTTCTACAGACATGCACATTTCTGGATGTCTAGACATCTGTGAGTAAGCTTATAAGTATGTGTATGTACAATTCTATAGGAAATGAGTACTCTGAGAATAAGGCCTGTTTCATTTTTCATCTCTGTAACCTCAGCACCCAGCACAATGCCTAGCACATAGTAGGTCTTTGATAAATGCTTGTCGACTGACTCACATACTTGGATATATAAATGGACAAATTATGTGTGGAGAGATCTATTTATATAGTTATGCATATGTTTACTGAGTACATTTCTGCATGTATGTATAAATGCATATGTTTATTTAAGGGAATTTCTATGTATGTATGTAAAGGAGGCATTTCTTAGTTTATCTCCATATATAGGGAGATAAACGATATATACAATGTCCATATAAATATATATGTACACACATATACATATATGTGTTGCATATATAAGTATATATCTATACACATGTACATTTTTGTATATACATATATACTTTCATATGGGCATCCTGTTGGGAGAGGAAAAATAGTCACAATGATGATGATAATAGCTCGCATTTATACTGGACTTTAAAGTCTGCAAAGCACTTTACATATATTATCAAATGATCCTCACAACAACCCTGTGAAGTAGATGCTACTATTATGCCCATTTTATGAGACCTCAGGGACAGCTACTACCTATAGAATTCAAACTCAGGTCTTCCTGATTTCAAGTCCAGCATTCTATCCAATGTACAAACCTGCCAAAAAGATACTCTAGGTACTCATGTAATCCTAT